ATTTGGCTCGCCAAACTGCCCCCAGTGCTAAAATATCATCAAGCCCCAGATGTTGTCTAAGGATCCCTAATTTCAACCAGTCACATTTGTCTACATGACATAACAAACCAGTTCACTAATCATCTGTTAAGTGTTTTGTGGTTCCTAACTAGAAAGCATCTAGCATGATTTTGAAATGCTTACAGATTTTCAGTATCATTCTAACAGGCTTCCCTTCAGCTAGTTCAGAACTTGATTCACCACCTTTAAGTCAGATCAGGATAGGCTAATACATAAGCTTATACAACAATCTAACCAGCACACATTTTCCTAATAAACAAATATTACCACCATAAAATTGAGTTCCCTACAGAATTACTCAAACAGGTAAAACAAAAGCTGCAAAAGGTTGTTAATCCTAGGCAATAGAGAATTAGAGACCTAACAAAGATGACAAGGCCAATGCATCAAATTTATTTTGGAGACTTTTAAGTCTTTTATAGAACACCATTTCATTTAATTACTATAAGCTTATACATGGTATGCACAAATGAAAGAATATGCTTGTTTATGCATGGTTGATGTGCAGAAAATAACTGGTCAGGGGCCATAGCAACACATAACAATTGGTAACACCTGAGTCTAGCATACACTTAAGACTTTCAAGATTAAATAAATACGAGTAAACCAATTAATACTCATACCCATTACTACTATGATGTATGCCAGCTTATTAGAAAATAGGAGTTCAGGCTGGAATTGGAAGATCATGAAAATTAAGCATCCTTTCAAAATTTCTATCACAATGCAAGCATAAAGAACATAAAAGTGCATTGTTCTCGTACTGTAATTGTTTCAAAATAAAATGTCGCTTAATCCGCACAAAATTTTGAACTAAAGAATTTGATAATGGAGTACAGTTAAAGGCAAAGCTCACACCAACAAAAACACAATCAGATATCTGATCAACCGTCCAATGTACCACTATCTCACCTTTCATTCTTCAGTTGCTACAGTTCCCTTTTCACTCACATAGATACCATCAAGAAACTTCCTTATGTCCTTGTTCTTGACATGGCATTTCTGACATAAGGAAAGCAGGGGTCAATTCTTGTACACATGTTTTTTCATTTATGTATGTAAAAATAGCATTAACTAAGATTACAAACGTACCTGGTTAATCAAGGCAGCTGATCGCGAGACTAGCTCAATGTCATTTCCATCCAGTACAAGTTCATCCTTGACCTTCTCAGACCGCAAAATGGTCACACCATCAAGCATATCCACCTTGCGCACCTAAAGCAACAAAGTTTGCAATTAGAATTTTTACAAAAACGATGCAGCAAAGCCATATAATTAGCCAAGGTGAACTGTCATGGTTAATTTGTCATATAATGAAGAGTGTGACTTGCATTACAAATTTACAAGAATTTTAAGTCAAAACACCAAAAATTCATCCCTGAATACCTTGCAAAAACTTATTAAAATCGACATGGAATCTTTACCTCACTATAAGGTCTGAAAAATTCAATAATAATAGTAATAAAATAAACTGTTCAAAAACCATAAAGGTATGACTTGTATTATAAAGTTAAATAAAAAAAAATGCCTAGCAATAAAAACAACACCCAAAGCTTCAATATCCAAAACATACTTATAAATTGTAATGATAAGTAGAGGAAAGAAACGAAAGAGTGTCATGACTTGTTCGAGGTCTATTCAAAACTGAAATTTTGAGAGGCACGGAGAATCACTTTTCTATGTAGCCAACCTTCAATGCAAAATATGTCATTTGTTATAAGACACTTTTGCTCTGCAAACTGGCATATATGCAGTGCACAAAGATCATTTTAACAATAAACGTTAAAAACAAATGGAACCAACACATATGAAAACATACTTAACAACAGACATTCCCCATTCGGAATCCGCTGAACTCTAGCATTATTGTGGTTGTTAACAACAGAATAGCACAAACTAAGTTTCTAAGCACCTTTCCACAGTACAAAACACATCCAAATCACACAGATCCCAAAAGTCTTTTGAACATTTTGAGCTGGAGTTATCGAAAGGATAAACATTACTAGGAGAAACCACATTTGGCAAAATAAAAATTTGCTTATATGCCTAATCTTAAGTAGAAAAAATATTTGAACTAAGTTCATAAGAACTACTCCAAATCACACAGATCCCAAAAGTCATTGCATAATGACAGTTAGCACAAACAGACATTTAGAACAGTTGTACAGTTCGGATCCTTTAGTGGGACAGCACTCTCCACAATGTAAGTCAAAGCCTTAAATCATGCTCCCATAGACACGTCCTCAATTCATTAAATGATTTTGCAATTTTTATTTCTAAGTAAAAAAACAAGTGTTTATGACTTGTTCGAGGCCTTCTCAAAATGTATGAATTTGAGAGGTAAGGAGAATCACTTTACTATATTGCCAACCTTCAATGCAAACTGGGCCATTTGATTCCATCAGACGCCTTTGCTCTGCAAATTCGCGCATAAGAAGTGCACATCATGCAAGATCATTCTAAGCCTACGACATTAGCAATTAGTGGAAACCAACATTCCATAAAACAAACACATAACTATTTCTAATTATTGAAATGTGTCACTTTTACCTAATTATTACCAACAATGGAACACAATTCCTCATACTAAGTTTATATTGACATGTCCAGTTTCTATAAAATACCAACCACATCCTACAATACATCGACCTGATTGCCATCAAAACAATAGTTCAAAAAAAGTTCATCATAACATTCTTCTACATTACAAGCATTGCAGAACAGTATTTCACCCAACAAGAAGTTTGACAATCTAACACAAAATGCTCAAAAATATTCAAAGCAAAAACAGAAAATGTAAGAGTTGATTAAAAAAATGAATAAGAATATAAGAGTACCTTCTTCTCGCCAAGAAAGTTACGGATCTCAATGCTTTGATTATCTTTAGTAATGCTGGCATTAATGGGGAAATGAGCATAAACAAATCTCATTTTATAACGATAACCCTTAGTAACACCAGTAATGAGATTGTCAACATGAGAAAGAGCAGTACGAATAGAAGCAGAAGTCTTCCTTGATCCAAACCAAGCATCCACCTTTAGTTGTTTCTTACCAGTTTCAGCATTCTTGATAAGTTGGAAATCTAAGTTGAGATGCTTGAAGTTCCTAATCAATTTGCCTCGGGGTCCTTCTACTTCGATCATTTTTGCTTTCACTTTGATTTTGACCCCATCGGGGATATCCATTGTTTCTGAAGACAATATGGTCTTCATCGAATCCAACCTTTTCTTTCTGGTTTTCTGTGAAGAAGAAAAACAAGAAGGAAGCAGAGAAGACGAAGCAACTTAACACGCCGATCACTAACCCTAAACCCTAAATTGTTAAAACCTCTTAAACGGGTAGGGCTGGAAATACTTTCGATCGGGCTTTAATCCTATTTTCAATTCTTGGACGGGCTTGAAATATTTCTCTCATGGGCCTTAGTTATGACTTTGTGTTTCACAATGTGGCTATTAGAGCATGGAGGATAAAAAAAACCACAAGTGCCTTAGGGCTTGGTTTCGGATTTGGCCCATTTAGAGTTAGGGCTAGTTTTAATTATTTTTGTCGGGGCCCTTTTGCCACGGATTTAGATTTTCTCTTAAGGCCTGTTGGTCTTGTGTTTGCCCAATGGGCTTTGTATTGGTATGTTGGTCTTTGTTTTATGTGTAACTCCCTCAAATGATTATTCTCTTTGGGAGACTTGTAATCTGTTTAAAGTGATAATTTAGGTAGTTGATGTAGTTGTAAGATTTGAAATATTATTGTTCTTGGCGTTGTAAAAAATGAGGGGGTTGATCTGCACATAATTCTGCATCTGTAACAATTATAAGATGCCGTGCGTTACTAAAGCATGGATGCATAATCCCTGTTATTTATCCTTCCACCACCATTATTGTAAAGATGCTAATATTTGATTTATGATAACAACATGTACATGAACCATATACACATCTATAGATAAAAAAATAAATTAAGATGGAGAAAATAACTCGTGGTCTTGTGGAGAATCTAGCTAGTGTGATTTTTAATTCCCTTTGAAGAAGGTCATGTGATGATGCAAGAGAGGACTCTGTAAGCTGAGCTATGTATCTGATTCTCCACTAATCTCCAACATATTGAAAAGGAATGTACAGTAGGCAAAAATATAATAAAAAAAGGAAATTTTTAAGTGTTGATGTGATTTAGAGAATTTAATCTTGCTTTGTTGTCACTTATTCTGCAACCTTGGCTCATTTGTTGAGAACCCGGCCTACAAATGCATGTATGCTTCATCAGTTGTGTGTTTGAATATGTAAAGGAGTTGAGATTGAGAAACACAAAGTGTAGCTTTAGCTAGGCATATATAAATATCTTTTCTTATAGATTAATTACTGAAGAAGAATATGGGCATGGCTGAAATGAAGTTTTGCAATGAATGGCATCAGCCTATTCTTATCATGGTAGTCATTGATTTTGCCTTAGCCATCGTTAATTTGCTCCTTAAGAAGGTTCTTGATGAAGGAATAGATCATTTGGTTCTCATCACATACCGAACATCAATGGCAACAATTCTCTTAGCCCCAATCGCTTACTTCTGGGAAAGGTGATTTTTTT